CGGCCTGATGGGCCACTTGGCTCGCATGCAGACTTAACCTACAATGTAGCTGCTAGCGTTTGTGGCTTATTTTTTAATTTCATGGGTAGTAAGCGACGGACTGTTGGTCTCATAGGGGCATTAGGGAAACTGTGATAAAAATAGAAGAGAGTTGTAATACCGTTGCTACCCTAAAAAGCTTGTGATTATTAGTCTTACTAAAGACTTTTTTATAATGTTTTTTTTTTTTTAACTCTTTGTCTTCTGTATGTAGTGATACCAAATCAAATCATATTTTATGTTGGAGGTCACCACAATCACTGCACTGATACTTCACGAAAGTTTTTGGAACAATCTTGTGGCTTATGTAAATGAAGAGTTGAAACAATCTAGCCGGTGAGGTCACACCAAAAGTGTCCTTACCGTATTCTGGTTTAAGAGTGTAGTGTAAACAAAGAGAGAAACTGGCTTTGACTTCTTTCGAGACGGGAATTTCTCAGTAATTTGTGCAGAATATTATAACCCGTTCGTAAACAAATTTCGGAAGAAGTGACACAATGACACTGGGATTGAAAACGTTAGTTTTGACCACTAAAAAGCCACGATAAAAATTTCAATTCTCGAGGACTGGCACTCAGGCTCATTACAAATTATTGAATAATTTATGACGATGTTTCCATCTCTGCCCACGTCTTTTCGTTACCGCAATAATGATTGTATCTGGAAGATTAAAAACGGGATTATAATTCCATAAAATCAAACAAGACAACTCGTTGCAATTACTTTTGTTTTATTTGACTTTTATTTGCTGTCAGCTAATTAACAAAACCCAAATTGTGAGCCACAATATATAATAATATATGCAAGTTAGAAAGATACAAATATTTCTTTGCAAAGGATTGTACCCGTGTATTGTGGAAAACAAAGTTTTCAAGAAATGTTAAGGCAAAATTCTCACTTTTTAACAGCAGATAGTTGGATGATGAAATGCGTGACAAAACTACAACATAGAAGTTTCGCTTGACTAAACCAGGTGAAGATCTAAATAATATTTACACAGCAAATTCTTATTCAGATATTATAAAAACCCCTTGAAAGAATGTAACACATGAAATAAAGAGAAACTTTGCCCAAATTGTAACTGTTACATTGCTAACATTAAATTTTTAAGTCTTGTTTCGTAAATAAATACAACGTTGAGATTATTTCAACGACTTTGATTTGCCTCGCACGCATTTTAAATTGCTAATGAGCTATGAAATTTAAAGGAATTTTTTCCTGTTTGCCTTATGTGTGTTTATTTAGCATATTGGCCTTGTTCTGAAAACTCCACTCTGTTGCGGAATTAGGACAGAATTGTTATTAAACATTTTTAGAAGGAAAGTGGGTTCACCCTTTTGATAATTTTCTCCAGCCTGTTCGCTCTTAGTTCAGATAACGGCATGAAAACTTCTCCAATCACATAAACATTGTCTTGTACATGATCAAAATCCAACACCACAAAGTGCACGGTACATTCTCGCAGCTTATTGTGAACAAAACCAGGCACAATAAAGGTTTCGTTGAAAGCGGGGCTTGTTGTTCGAGAAATTTTCCTCGTCCACTGCCAGGACAACATCTCGGGCAAGATGCGCATTTTCACACTGCAGTTTGGCGGGCGGAGGAAACTCTCGTCTGGTGTAGAAATCCCAACAACTTGAATTACAGTGATGTGTAGTTCACGACTTGCCGTGTCGTAAAAACACGAGAACTCAAGCCGGCATTCCTCCTCGCCGGTCGAACTTTTCTTTCTAAAGAATTCCTCTGGGTTTGGGTGAACTAATCCATCTGATTTTAAGGTAGTAGGCAAACTCATTCGCTTTGTTAGCTTGGGTTTGTGGCCACCGGTCATGGCCTCGCTCTCAAGACTTTGCGGTCTTTCGCTCCCGTCTTGGACATCCTCGCCGTCTTCGTCGATTGTGGTAATAGCGCCAGTTTGATACGGCCTGGTTATTCGAATTCTCTGTTGTTCACCATCATCTAGCTCGGTAATTTCAGGGTATGATTCCGCCGAGGACTTGGCCAACGTGTACACATTTGGCTGTACTTGAACTGGTCGTGTTTGCGCGACGAGAAAAGCACCTTCAGGACTACTCGCCGAGTAATAATCAATTTTCGCGCGCACATCGCGCGACTGTGGATTGTATGTCTTGGATCGTCTGGCGTAAACGAAATATCCAGTACACACCACTATTGCGCCGGCCAGAAAACCAAGCACTGAGCCAAGAATCACGCCAAGAACAGTCGAGTCCTGAAAACACAATGACGAATAGTGATTAGTTTAAAACTTTGAACAAGAGTAACCCAAGACTTTAAAAAACGCGAAAGTTAAAAAAGCCATTGTTTTAGAGTGCCTACCGTCATTTAAACTTTCTAAGTCATGTTTCGTTTTTCGCGCTGAAAAACGTCGATCTGTCGCGGAAGATTGAGCCGCCAAACGGGAACTTGAGAAATGAAGACGTGTCGACAACTCTTCTGACCTGGACTTTTCGCGGGGTCGAGGATTTTGATATGCTGAAGGAGTTTTGAATTTAAATAAAGCTAATTATAAAGCCTTTTGTGTCTGTCTGTCATTCACATCGTACATTCATCCGTGCGTAAAGCTCTGCTTGTTTGCTTCACCAGTGACAGTACAGTGGTTGTTATGCAAAACAAGCCCACTCGATTCGTGACACTCTGCGTCACAGAGCAATAGATATTTCATCCCGGAATAAATCGTATTTCTCTTTACGTAAATTAAAATATCATTCAATCAATGTCAAATTATGTTTTGGTCCCAATCTGTCTTTTCAACACCCTTTCCTTCTGTATTCTCATCATAAAATTTTGATCGAGTTTTAAAAGGTCGATGTCGTGTAAATAAAACTTCACTCCCGCTCATTTTAAAGTTGGTTTGTAATCCTTGAGTTTGCTTTTTCATCGAGTTTCGACGTCTTGCAGTGAATTGCTTTGTTAATTTATTTTCGGGTTTAGAAAACATTCCAAGCGAAATAGCAATTATCGTCGCAAAGCACCTGCCGGTAAAGTGCCTCTTTTAAAGTAAGAAACAGATAATAGGCGGTTATGTCATTGTTGTTGTCGTGGGAATGATGTATTCTTCTAAGCAACAAAGAAATTCAGGCCAAAAGTAAATGAGCGAACATTTCTCGCGGGTCAATTGATCAAACGAATACACCTTTCTCGCAGTTCATTCAAAACAACAAACGCATCGCTCAATCTTATTTTTTCCGCGATGGCGTAAAGAGAACGCTCGGTAAAAGCATACAGAAGGCAGTGTTCGTTATTTACGTTCAAAATTTCTGATTTGTAGTAAATAAATTCAAGTTTCAATTTAGCAAACTCAATTAGTCCTGTCTTAATTAATTCCTTATTGAAAGGTATACAACTTTTTGCTGATGTGGTGTGAAAATTCTGTAAGTGCACAATACAAAGAACGTCTACACTAATTCCATTTGACGCAAACTGAAGATATTAAATGAATTCTTTTAAAAGGCACACTAAGTACGTAATATTGTTTGTCATATCAAGTTTTATTACTTTGCTATAAAGGTGAAAATCATGCTTAATTTAACGTACAGCTCGAACGGTTTACTGTTTTTGAAGCCCTTTTAGAGTTTTTCGGGATACGGGTTAATAGGTAAAAAATTAACAGGATACAGGATATTTGGGGGAAATTATTAACGAGAGATCTAGACCAGATAAAACAGGATATCGAGTAGCGAATCCTTAGTTTTTGCTACTTGAACTCATGGTACGGGATATTTAAGTCAAAAATTAACCGAATGTGGGATACTCAGACCACCCCACCCCCACCCCCTAATGGAGCCTCTTTTTCAAAGTTACTCATTCATTATTCAAGTTCAGTAATCCCATCATTCCTTGCGCAATAAGGTACATGAAGCGCGCAAGTCCTTTTAAACTTGTCACGCGACTTGAGCTCATCAAGAGGCACGTCAAGTTGACCAATGACTTTTTCATCTTCTCCGACACAAACAACTACAAATCGAAGGATAGCTCCCTCCAAGTCAACTGGCTTCACCCCTGATATAATAAAATGGTCTTTAAAATCCAGCTTCTCTGAAACATTCAGAGCTCTTGTTCGTCTCCATGTTGTGAATTTAGGAGATAAACAAACTTTTATATAAACCGTACTGTCTGTCGTAACTGTTTCAGTTGTCACACCTTCGAGACCTAGAACAGTGACGTAAAGCAAAGGCGTCCCAGAATCAGCTCCCTTATACAAAACTGAAAATTTAAGACTCCCGACTGAAGTTTCCTTGCCATTCGTAACGTTTTCTTCGTCAATACGATGAATAACATTGTGCTTGGAAGTTTCAGTGTCTTTTCGTTGTTGTTTTCCATTTCGCCGAAGTGCATTTAACAGTGTACACATCATTGTTGTGTCTTTACCCACTTTAAGAATGCGCTCGTCAAACCGTTTGAAGTGTTGCTTTTGTTCATCGCTAAAATCCATCTTTTCTGCACGAGCAATTGTTCCAATTTTACAACCTTTGTCGCGACTAATGAACAAGTTGTTTTTTGGTTCAACAAGGTTTTCCATGTCTTCAGTTTTCCACGTGGTCGTTTGATAGTTCTGTTTCTCTGTGGGGCTCACAGGTGCTTTGGCTGTGTTTTTGGAGCCACGCTTTCGATCAGGGGTTCTGCCGCTTTCAACAGATGTCTCTACACTTGTAGCCCTTTTTCTCTCCATCAAAGACTTATCAGTGCTCAAACCTTCGACGTCAGATTCCACTGCAAAACTTAACGTTACACTCGATGTGCCCGCAATACTTTCATCCAGCGATGCGAAACCACTGGCGCCCCTAATTTCGCCCAAAGATGATTGGATACTGTTCATTTTAAGACTGTAGTTAGCATGCAACTGTTTCAGAGGCTGTTCTGCAAAACTGCTAGCACCTCTAGTGTTTAGATCATTGATCTCTTGAGTTTTTGATGAGCGTGAATTTCCAAAGGAGCTCGCTCCACGCTGTTCATTTTCACTGCACTCCGTTATCATAGAGACGCTTTCTTCTTGTGCGCAATCGCCAATTCCTTGATTATTCAATGTGTTGTAAGTGAGTGAAACTTGCGATTCACCAAACACGCTGGCTCCTCTCAATTCTTTTAATTCGGAATGTGTATCTTGCTTTTGAGTAAGCACTTGACTTCTCCTACTCTCAATCCCAGATTCTGGTATCGATGACTCAGCATTTCCCATTTTGTGGCAATGAACCGTGCATGTAGGGCCATGAATACACATTCCACTTGACGCGCGAAGAAGATTCAAAGTACTCTGTCTTCCGCCTTTTGTGATACGTTCTGTTCTTGTTGAATTAAGCTGATGGCTGCCTTTCGCAACTTCAGTACTCTCATCAGTTTCAGTGTCATCTTCAATTACATTCACTGGCGCACTACACTGGTCAGAGGTTATCTCATTCTGACCATACACGCTGCATTGGCCTCCACAAAGGCATAGTGAGCTTGGTGCTCTCACAGTGTCCAAGCAGCTTGCGCGGCCGCCGAGGTGGACTGGATTCTGCGCTGGAGCCAAATCATTGTCTGCAACAAGCTGCAACTTTTTCAACAGCTGTAAACTTTCTTGAAGTGGTGCTCGCATTTTCCTTCGACTAGGCACAAACTCTTTCCTTTGTGTGATTAAGTAATCTCTGCGACGCTTTTCTGTTTTCGCATCTGGGAATTCTAACGTTTGATCGTAAGCTTCCTCGCCCGTTTTGCGGGACTTCTCCACATCATGAAGCCACTTCTCCAAATCCATTCGCCGCAACGGACTTTGATTCATCTCTCGCATGTTCTCTGCAGTCAGCGGACCTGATATTTCTGCTGATGGAGTAGCGAGCCTTAACATATCACCACACGCTTTGCTAACGTCACTTTCGTTCTCCAAGGTCAAATTACCATTTACATTTAGTGCAATATCACCCCAAGTGAGTCGCTCATCGCTAGTTCGAGCACCCTTCAGTTTGGTGTTCATTCTCCCACCCTCTGTTCTATGCATGGGACAGCTACAACCCCTTAAACACATGGAGCTAGGCGCTCTCTCCATCTCCAGCACACTTAATCGCCCCCCACCGTACACCCCACGGTCATAAGCATGTACAGACAGGCGGGTGCCGTCATTTAAAGGAGCTCCGCCTCGTAACCCAGGAAACTCTGCTTCAGCAAGGTCGAGAGAATCGTTGTTATTAGCAGGAAATTCTTCTAAGCTATCAATTTCGTAACTGTCTGGTGAGTTTGTACCAATGCCACTAGATGCAGCGCTATTTCGTTGCGTAAAATCATCTTCAACGACAATATCCTTGTTTTGAAGCGTAATAGTAAGCGAGCTTTTCTTGTTTACATCATCTTCATGTTCCGCCTCACTGTCCTTATCTTTATACGACGGATTGTCGTAATCTGAAGTGTATTCTCTTGCCGTCAAATGGATCGGACTTACTCCTCTCTCTGTCACTTCTGGTCGAATAAGATTTACTGCGCAAGTTTGCCCGCGTAATCCAGCCATATTGCCAGCTAATCCGCTGAGCGGTTGGTGCTGCGGTAAATCTTGATATTCTTTCATCACAGCATCAACAACGTCATTATTTTCTTGTTGTAGAACAGACGACGGCTCTGTCGCAATCTTGTCTGGTATGTTATGAAAACGTATTGTCCTTCGTCCATACTGCTGTTCAAATTTTCGTTTGAACCTGTTGTCGGACATTGTTTTAGATTTACTGAAGGATGTTCCGCTTGAAAACAATAATCCACCAAACATGAGCATAAGCACAGCGCCAATGGCAGGAAAAAGAAATGCTGTGACGTCAGTCGAGTTTTCCTGTGCTATGACGTCAGCTTCGTCAGGGGACTGGTCCGAGAGATCTGTAAAAAAAAGTTCGGTGAAATACTTTATTAGAGGAAACATTCAATTTCAAAATAAATCACTCCAATAATCGCATTCCATTTTGTCTTTGTTTTGCCTATATTTAGATGATATTATTAAGTATAGAATAACGTTTTTAATATCATGTTACAAACTACAGCTGATTGAATACAACATAACGGGATTGTACGGAAGCACAATGGACCGAGTTTGAAAATACATGTTTCCTCAAGTCTAATATTTCAACTTTATATTTAAAAGCATTAAAATGGTTCTGTAATAATATTTAAACTCTATGTTTCACAGAGCAGCAGCAATCATGTAACAATTACATATTAGAGGGTTCAAAATAAATATTAGTTCCCGGGTATATTTACCCTGAGCTTAAAATCAATTCATTTCAGGCTATATAATGTTTTAAATATTTTTGATCAGCAATTAGCAATTATCTAAAAGTGTTTTCCTGATCATATTGAAATTTGCTAATTAGATGATAGTTTAAAATAAAAGCCATCTGATTGTTATACCCGAAACATAACTCGGCTGATTGCCACCTGTCACTCCACCTGCCGTATCAGAACGGCACAAAAATTGTCAGGACGAAATCTTTAATTTCGTAAATCAAGTCATTGCAAATTGTTTGAACTACAACACGAAAGAGGTGAATAAAAATGGTCAAAAGTCATATATAACCGAATGCTTATAGTTGTAAATAAAGCCTAAGAAATCTAAGGTAAACCAATTCAGTTCTGCACGTAATGCCGCCCTTTTGGGAAACCCCATCCCATGCAGGGCGTAGCTGCAAAAGCTCAAATGTACAAAGAAAATAATAGTATTTCTGTTGTTCTGTTTCTAACATGCTTTTCACATTAAACATCTGCAAGCAAATCTGTCGCTTAGCACCATATCTCCAAATTGTTTAGTCTCAGAAAATAGTTACTCGAAAGGTAAACATATGTATTGCTGTAACCGAACAACTCTAGTACTCTGAAGAAAATGTGAAATTTTCCATTGCAGGTTATTCTGTTTTGTAGCAGAAAGCTTGCAGAACCTTTCATGCAAAGCTAAGTTAGAAATGATTAAACTTACATAAAGGAACTTAACTGTCCAACCAAAGTGGAACAAAAGTTCAAGCAGCATTTGCACAAACAAATTCTTTCAGTATGGGATGCAAATTTTACAACGAATATAACGTTGTTCTAGGTCGAACTATGTACCCCTATAGCTTTCATAACATTTTACGAAGTAAAAGATTTAAGCAATACTTACTCAAAGCGTATTGTTTAGTTCCATTTGACAGTATTTCCATAATCCAAAGGGAACACCCCGTTAAAATTTCCGCCGTCCTCCTCCAGCATCTTCCACTTGAACTTCACCCCAGCAGTCACGTGTCGCGCGTGGCGTGAGAAAGGCACTTCAGAGTAGTTATGGCAACAGTGACGTCATAAACTTTGCTTTCATTTCCATCGTTTCCGCGCCAAAGGAGCACCAAAAAGTATCTTGCTCGCTCAGTCTTCTCTGGTACAGAGACGCTTGTCCCCGATTTTGCTAGTAGTGTCTCTTTCGAAGATAATTGAAATTCAAGAGACAGAAATCGTGTGATCTTTCATCACAAGCAAGTGTAAATGAAATAAATAGATCCACCTGTCTCTGTTCAATTGTTTAAGTGGTGATTTGAAGTTTGCTTTTTTTTCGGTAGCACGCTTCATGCGTTTTTAAATATGAGAGCCAAAGAAGATCATGTTTAACACCTCGAGGAAATTGGACCCTAGGCGCAGAGTTTTCCGTACGTTTTATGATAGTGACTAACTTAGACTGTATATTAAGTCTAAAGGCATTTGTATGTGTCTCAGTGCGGTTGCTCTCAACTCTCTCAGCGTGTAATATGTAAAGTCTGTGTTATTAAAGCTTTTTAGGTTAGTTCATGTAGCACCGGTTTCTATTCGCTTTGTAAATCTTGGAAATACCCTCCACATCGTATTGGCGCATTTCAGTGCACTTTTATAACATATTTGTAACATGCTACGTTCCTGCGCTTGAGATGAAAGCGACAGGACCCGCAGATCACTGCCGGTGGCCATGATGACGTCACTTCTTGTGGAAGAGGATCGATTCCTTTGTTTGGACGCCATGATGAAATGGCGGCAATCTCTAGATTCCCCAAGCATGACGCTACCTACTTTTAAGGGTAAGAAACGCTTGATTTAGCAAGCTAAAGCTAATTCTAGAACGCTTGATTTAGTTAGCGATAATTGTTTTGCAGAGAGTTTTGCAGAACCATTGCAGCGGCGACCAATTTAGTTCTAAACAAAGAAATATGGCGTTAAACCATAAAACCAATTTTAATTCTTTACTTTCCTCTCTTGATACGCTGAAAACCAGCTTTTAGGAGATGGTTTGTGATAGTTCCGAAGTCATAAACAGATATTTACTTGAGACTTTGAGTAACAATTCAAATAGACACTAAAGTAATGTATTACTGATCTCTAATCGTTTTGTTGCTTGGCCTTTGTTCGTTTTGTGCGGGAATTATTAATTATACTATATGAAGTGCTGCATTTAAGTTTATAGAGGAAAGTTTCCTTAATTTATGAAGTCGACGCCAATCTTTGACTCTCAACAAACAGTTATTGAAAATACTCTAAGACCTTTTTTTCATACAAGCGTTGTCATAGTTTTGATGGTTGAAGTAAGGAATGAATGCTTTCCAAATGAACTTGAGCCCAAATGCGGCATAGTTCAAAGATGAAATATTAAGCGGAGAAAATAATTTTGTCTCACTGAGCTCTCGAAATCAGCTGTAGCAGTCTCGATTTGAAGCAGTGTAGCAAGTCTGTCTGCCACTGCCAAAACATTTCACTACATACTGACCAATCATAGTGAGTTACTCGATTTTGGCGCCAAAGTGGATTTTATGAAGTTAGCGAATGGTAGATGGCGCTAATAGAAATAACGCTTTAGTGGCAGAAAGAGTTAAGAATAATATTTTGTTATCGAAAGAACGGTTAAAAATACACGTTGAGGAAATATGACTTACGAAGCCATCCTGGCACACACTTAATTTCTATCATTCTTTCCAATACTAGTCGGAGGACATGGGAGGAGAGTGTTTTTAAAGGTCTTCCCAGAAGGTGAAATTAAAAGTTGAGACAGAAATTTGTGTTAGTTCGGGCTGTTTTTTTTCCTTTATATCTGACAGCTTCCGAAGCTAATGTATGTTGTTAACTTGGCAACAGCAATTGAACTCTCCTGCATGCATGCTCAAAGCATTAATTTTAACAATTTACTTTCGAATATATTTTCCAATGAAAAGGGTAGAAAATTTCATTTGACATGTATCTCCTGGTCTGATATGAACATATTTATACAGTTTCACAAGTGTTTGTATTGGCTATCGTGTTATTGTAGCAATGAGTGACCGCATTCCACCTGTGCAAACTGTAAAACAATTGCCTCGGCCGAAAAAACTAACAAAAATAGACACGTTGATCTTTTCATATGCAAATGTAAATGATTATTCACAATGCGACAACGTAAATTTTGTAAAATTGTGAAGCATCCCGCTGAAAATTGGTCTTATGAAAATGCGAGTGAGATTCGATCATNTCTTTAAAATCCAGCTTCTCTGAAACATTCAGAGCTCTTGTTCGTCTCCATGTTGTGAATTTAGGAGATAAACAAACTTTTATATAAACCGTACTGTCTGTCGTAACTGTTTCAGTTGTCACACCTTCGAGACCTAGAACAGTGACGTAAAGCAAAGGCGTCCCAGAATCAGCTCCCTTATACAAAACTGAAAATTTAAGACTCCCGACTGAAGTTTCCTTGCCATTCGTAACGTTTTCTTCGTCAATACGATGAATAACATTGTGCTTGGAAGTTTCAGTGTCTTTTCGTTGTTGTTTTCCATTTCGCCGAAGTGCATTTAACAGTGTACACATCATTGTTGTGTCTTTACCCACTTTAAGAATGCGCTCGTCAAACCGTTTGAAGTGTTGCTTTTGTTCATCGCTAAAATCCATCTTTTCTGCACGAGCAATTGTTCCAATTTTACAACCTTTGTCGCGACTAATGAACAAGTTGTTTTTTGGTTCAACAAGGTTTTCCATGTCTTCAGTTTTCCACGTGGTCGTTTGATAGTTCTGTTTCTCTGTGGGGCTCACAGGTGCTTTGGCTGTGTTTTTGGAGCCACGCTTTCGATCAGGGGTTCTGCCGCTTTCAACAGATGTCTCTACACTTGTAGCCCTTTTTCTCTCCATCAAAGACTTATCAGTGCTCAAACCTTCGACGTCAGATTCCACTGCAAAACTTAACGTTACACTCGATGTGCCCGCAATACTTTCATCCAGCGATGCGAAACCACTGGCGCCCCTAATTTCGCCCAAAGATGATTGGATACTGTTCATTTTAAGACTGTAGTTAGCATGCAACTGTTTCAGAGGCTGTTCTGCAAAACTGCTAGCACCTCTAGTGTTTAGATCATTGATCTCTTGAGTTTTTGATGAGCGTGAATTTCCAAAGGAGCTCGCTCCACGCTGTTCATTTTCACTGCACTCCGTTATCATAGAGACGCTTTCTTCTTGTGCGCAATCGCCAATTCCTTGATTATTCAATGTGTTGTAAGTGAGTGAAACTTGCGATTCACCAAACACGCTGGCTCCTCTCAATTCTTTTAATTCGGAATGTGTATCTTGCTTTTGAGTAAGCACTTGACTTCTCCTACTCTCAATCCCAGATTCTGGTATCGATGACTCAGCATTTCCCATTTTGTGGCAATGAACCGTGCATGTAGGGCCATGAATACACATTCCACTTGACGCGCGAAGAAGATTCAAAGTACTCTGTCTTCCGCCTTTTGTGATACGTTCTGTTCTTGTTGAATTAAGCTGATGGCTGCCTTTCGCAACTTCAGTACTCTCATCAGTTTCAGTGTCATCTTCAATTACATTCACTGGCGCACTACACTGGTCAGAGGTTATCTCATTCTGACCATACACGCTGCATTGGCCTCCACAAAGGCATAGTGAGCTTGGTGCTCTCACAGTGTCCAAGCAGCTTGCGCGGCCGCCGAGGTGGACTGGATTCTGCGCTGGAGCCAAATCATTGTCTGCAACAAGCTGCAACTTTTTCAACAGCTGTAAACTTTCTTGAAGTGGTGCTCGCATTTTCCTTCGACTAGGCACAAAC